TAACATTATCAATACTAGAAATGCAATTGATTATGAAGTGGTCACTCTACTCATGGCACGAAGAAATAGAATAGTTATTGATAATTTACAAAACATGTTGTATGGTGTAGCCTTAGCAAAATATAATATTGTAAACCCACTAATTTTAAATACAGAAGAAATCAGTTTGATAGAATTTAAGGAAAACACACTTGTTCCCATGTCCGATATTATTAAAATTTCAGATGTAAAAATTTATTACCAAAACGATGCACTGATTTATCTTGTAAACTTTCCTCAAATAACAAAAATTTGCAAATTATATCAAATAAGCCCTGTGGCTCAAAATAACAAAATGTTATATTTAAAGAATAATTTAACTGCTAATTGTAAGGGAAACCAATATCTATTAGAAAATTGCAGAAAAACTGTAGGATATTACTATTGTAGTATTAATATGCAAGATGTTTGCCTTTTACAACTTCTAAACAACCATACAGCAAATTGTCCCATTACGGCGGCGGACCACTTAGAAGAGATTGAAGTAATTAGAGACGGATTAATCATCGCACCCAGCAGTAGGCTAGACATCGAGAAAATGGAGAACTGATTAGAGCTAATGGAACCCTGTTAATTACATTTGAAAAATCTCTTACGATAAATGGAGAGAAATTCAAAGCAAATCATCAGATCGATATTTTTGAGCTCCTAGCTCCTAAGAAAACTATTTTAAATGAGACAAGTCAACAAAAACACCTATCATTGCCATTCCTTCATAAACTGCATATTCGAAATAACGAGCGAATGGAAGAGATAAAAGTCGTTCTTGAAAATAGCAAATGGATGTGGTATGGCGTAATTGCAATACTCACTGCAATCATAATAGTAATATTGTATATGAAGTTAAAGCCCAGAATTATCAAAATAAAAACTGACACTGACCAGCCTCAACATAGTTTGTCAACGATGAACATTGCCAAAAGCAGAGAAGATATTAGAGCCCGCTTGGAAGTAATTGTGGCTGAGGCCAACCACATTTGAGGGGGAGGGTAGTTAACATAAGTAGTGGAATGTGCCACTTGACACCAGCAACAATAGCAGCAGCAGCAAATGTACAAACGTGGGAACGAATGCATGTACGTGACTAAATGTGAATACAAATGCAGCGTCAACAATTTAGCTTTAAGAAATTAGAAAATAAGAAATAGAATTAAGAGGTAGCATAGGTAGATTAGAATATGAATATTCAAATAAAGCCAGTCTTGATTTGACAACCAAAAATATCTTGTATTTATGAGAGTCTCTAGTGATTCCGCCGCTGTCCTGGTTCATGCACCGTCCTCTCCCTTAATAAGGTTGGGGTTGGTGTGTTCCTTGGATAAAACTTTGCTTAGTCTGGCGGAATTGCTACAGTTCTCTATGGATGTGCAATAGGACTCCCAAGAGTCCTCTTTAGCTTTCTTTACTAATTTTTTGTACTGCCTTAATTCATCTTTGTATGGCTGCCACAGTTTTGTTCTGTAGTACTCGTTAAAGATTTTTCTGAGATTTGACCTGTGCTCCCTAAGCTCCCCCGTCCACCATGGAGGGAATTTTTTCTTAAGGATGCTTACTGGTGTGGATTTTTTAAAAGCTATGGCTAGAGTTTTTCCAGCTTATCTACTGTGTTGTCTAGTTCTACAGCAGTTGTAATCTCCTTTGATTTACTACAGTCTAGGTTACCTGACGTTAGCCTGATAAATTTTGGTCATATTGTTCTTCTCGGATTCCGAAATAGGGAAGAGGTAGTGGGCTCTCCGCGAATGCTGAAGAGTATCTAACAATGATCCGACATGGATGTTTCACTGGATACTCTCCAGTCATACCAGACAATACCATATGTTGCTAGGGTTAAGTCCAGTACCTCTTCCCATCCCGCAAATCTTTCGGAGCTGGGAAATATAAAGGTCGGATTCTCTCCTTTATTGCATATACTCAGGTTAGTATTTAATATAAAGTGTGCTGTTTATCGTGGAACTCCCCCAGATAGTGTATCTCGCATTTGCGTCGCATTCTATCAGAATTTGTTCCCTCTGATTTTGGGTGATAAATTATTCCAGTTCGATATTTTGGTGCCCTTCCCTCTCCACTTTCTCCACGGTTAAGTCTGCTGTGCTGTAATTTGGACAGAGAAATGCATTAATACCTTTTTTGATTAGAATACATGCTCTCGGTTTACCTGTGTTACCACTATAAAAGAGGTTATGTTTACTGCTGTTAAGTCCATGGATCTGATCACCTCTGACCCACGGCTCCTGGATTAGGCTGACGTCGATGCTTCCCTCTCCGAGAAGGATTGACAGATTATCTGTCGCACATATTGAGTGCTGAAGATTAATCTGTACACATTTCATCTTCGGTGGGGGCTGCATCGGTGATGTTGACGTCGGACAGGCTATATTTCGGTGGAAAATGGTCGTATTGAGATTTTCAAGTGCCGTTTTCTCATGTAGGTTTAAAAATTTACTGGCCCTTTAAACACATTTTCTCAGAAAAAATGGGTTTTAAAGGGCAGATAAATTTTTAAACCTACTTGAGAAAACGCCCATTTAAAGCATTTTAACGTTCTAATTTTCACATTTATTTTCTAAAAATTTCTAGGAGCCATGGTTCTTATATAATCCTGAAATAACGCGAAAAAATAATTTTGCGAATTTGTTTTTTTTTTTTGTTTTGCTCCACGGGTTGGAAAAAAATGTTTTAGTTAGGCCGGCATATGAATCGGATAACCTCTATATTTGGCTTTAATTTCCTTTTTTAAAACCTCATTTAATATTTTTGAATAGAGTATTTTAAGACAGAAATCGCAAAAATTCCTCCCTGAGGAATAGCGCTTCCATCTTCCTCCTCAATACAACTCAATTCAAGGGCAATCAATTTTGATTTCCTCTTTTGTGAGTAAAAAAAAAAGAAAGGGCGCTGTTCAACTAAATTTATCTCTAATATAACACAGTTTCTTCGCCTCTATATTTACCTCACGCTCCAATGCCACTGAAAATATTACGTATCCATAAAAGAGCGTTCTGTCTCTTTTGCTTATCTACCTTTCATCACTCAGTAGGGGTCTTCCCATAAACTCGTAGAAGCCTCGTAAGCCTCGTAAATTTACGAGCCTCGTAAAAGAACTGTAATTGTAAGTTACACGCCGCGGCAATTTAGCCGCAAGGTGTATCTCAAAGGTTGACTGCATTTTTTTTGTTTATGTTGATTTTGAATAATTTGTGTTTATACTGCAACATATTATAAGCATTTATTTTTTAAATTTGTATGTGTCATCATCAACAGTGTTGTTGGTACATTGTACACATTGTGAAATATGCTTGCAATGTTTTCTGCAAACATTTTTGTTACAATTAATACAACAAATGTTTGCCTTATTATTCCTGGTACATATTCCTGGTATCAATTTCTGTTGCGTAGCTGGTTCGCTTCTATATGAGCTTAAAAACATCTCCTGTTTTGTTATTGTTGTTTCCGAAAGAACGAAAACTGACACTGAAGATGGCACAACGCCGAAACCGGTTTATCTCAAAATTAAATTTGACAAGGAACGACGGTAATTCGTTATAAAATACATCATTTAAAAACATCCTTTTTTCTCTTAAACATAAGAAAATGAATATCAAAATAGTTACAATGTGTACACAAAGTATACGAAAAGTATGAATTTCAAATTACACATGACACATGATTTAGGCCCTTATCACAAACTCACTTTTCCAACTATCTTAAAAAAAATGTTGCGAGTTACATTAAAATGTTTTTGGTACACGGAAGGGCGCGACGCGGCATTTCAGCCGCTTATATGAGACACCAACTTTCAAATATTAATATCAACTGAACGATATAACACAACAAGTAACAGCTAACTGTGAACCATGCTGCATCTCAAAATTTACAAAGTCACTATATGGCAGTAGCCGGCTACTACAATTAGTATTTGAAAACCACAAATTAAAATTTTTGCGGCTAATTTGTCGCGGCGCGCCCTCCGAAGGGTTAAAGGTTACTTCAGAAAACGGCCATAACTGTATTAACATGGGTTTTCTGCTAATTCTGGCATTTATAATTATATTTTAGCTTTCATTCGAGCTGACGGGCTGTGATGAAAAATACTACGAAACAAAAATGTATACACAAAACCCTTTTCAACCTATTAAACTGTCACTTTACGCACCTATTTACACATTTGTAAAAGCGTAATGTTCCCGTAATACCCCCGTAAACTTACGAATTTTACACATTTTAAGACTTTGCGTTTTAATTTGACTAAGTAGTTTTAATGGTTGATAAACTCATTAAAGCAGCTGGGAAATGTTTAGTTATTTGTCCACTGTTTTTGGGGTATTGCGCGGAGGGGGAGGGGAATAGGTCCTAGTATCTAACCAACTAGAAAGAGCACAGTTCACACTTTGTAAAAAGTCACACCTAATCCCTCGAAACCTTCCACATACCTTGGAGAACCATTGGAAATGGTCTAAAATTAGCATTTTGACACCGGAAATGTAAACTCGATAAAAAGTATTTTTGTGCAGAACACCTTTCTATTGGGAAAGGTATTCAACATTTATTGTGCATATAACTCCGGCTACACCATCCACAGTATATTTTCGTAGAACTCACTCCAAAATTCACAAAAAAGTGCATTTTTAAGACTGTGGAGTATAGCCCTTATGAATAACCAAGACTTGTAAACGCCGTATTAGTATTATAAATAAACAAGAGGTGAAAACACCGTATTAGCATTAAGAGCAAAATGTAAAGGAAAATGAACGTTGTGTCTGAAATGAATAAAACAGTTTATCTTCAACTAGCAAGCTGAAAACATCGCAGTGGCGACGAGGAGAAACAACAGCAAGCAAGAATAACGCTGGTTTCCCGTTATAGTCAAGCGCAGTTTTTTCTTGGGTTTTACCCTAGAAAAGCGTTGATTTGCAAAGTCCAAGCTACATATGTATGTAAGGCTATAGAAAGGCAAAATTATGACTGAAACCGGAGGCGCAGATAATTCGAATCTTAGTCTGCGGTACACTAATGATAGCATAATGGCAGCCTTGACAACGACAACCGGCATAAGGGAATTTCGGCCGGGAGTAGACAGTTGGCGCAATTGGAAGGAATTACTGGATTCCCATTTTATTGAAACTGCCTGCGAAGACGATAAGATTAAATCGTCGGTGTTACTGAAGGCAGTGGGCTTAGAAGCATATGGTCTATTGCGAGATTTATGCGATCCAGTGTTACCAGCCACGAAGGAATATAGTAGCTTATGCAGTCTATTGGAGCGTCATTATTCGCAGCCAACTATAGTCTTTCGCGAAAGGCAAACGTTTTTCGACGCTAAGAAAGCAGCGGGCGAAAATGTAGCTGCCTGGTTTGCGCGCGTTAAGAAGCTGGCAAAAGATTGCAAGTTTGGAGGTCAGCTAAACGCATTTGTTCTTAACAAATTTGTAAACGGTTTCGAGGGCAAAATTTTTGAAAAGTTGTGCGAGGAGGAAGAGAACCTAACCTTAGAGCAAGCTTTGCGGAAAGCTATGGTGGCAGAAACCAAAATGCACGTGCAGCGCAACGAGAGTGAAGTAAATTTCGTATCGCGGCGAAACCAAAAGAGCTTCAACAAGAGCAATGCGAACATGGCCGCAGTACCCGAAAACCGCAACAACAATCAAAAGAAGGCGAAGAAGAAATGCAGCCATTGCGGTTGGAAGTCGCACACAAGCGAGAAGTGCAAATTTAAGAACAGCACGTGTCATAAGTGCGGCAGCGTGGGGCATTTGGCGAGTATCTGCAGTAAAAGACATGTAAATTTAGTGGAAGTATCAAAACTTAATGAAGATAACATTTGCATTAGAGAGACAAACAGTTTTAAATTTGTTTCTGACCTGTCTATTTACAGCATTGCTAAAGGACAGGCGTCTTCTCCATTCACACTCGCTGTAGAAGTCGACAACGTGCCGCTTAGTTTCGTGTTAGATACTGGTGCAGCCTGCTCGCTGATACCGAAAGTTATTTACGACAAGTACTTTCACCAAAACGAGTTAAAAGCGTGTAGCGAAAACCTCAGCGCGTACAATGGCAGCCAAATCGATGTAGCGGGTGAGTTTATGGCAATGGTTAAGACGCGGGATCAGTCGCATGTCTTGCGTCTGGTGGTCAGCAACTCGTGTGGCCCACCCATTTTAGGGCGGGATTTTATGAAAATATGCGGCTTGGGGCTTTCGCAAATCAATTCCCTTTTAGAACACCAAGACATAGTCGAGCATATTAAAACTAAGTATAGTGAAGTTTTTGAAGAAGGATTGGGCGCGTATACTGTAAACAAGGTAAAGTTGAGTCTTGTGGAGGAAGTGAAGCCAATTTTTTGCAAACCGCGCCCCGTTCCACAAGCTTGGCGAGATAAAATTGAAAAGCAAATTACTGACTTAGTCAACAAGGGAGTCTTAGTGCAGGTCGATAACTCGGATTGGGGCACACCCTTGGTTCCAGTTGTCAAACCAAACGGTGATTTGCGCATTTGTGGCGATTATAAATCGACCATCAATAAATATTTAAGCGACGTGAGGTACCCATTGCCGCGCATTGACGAGTTGTTTGCGTCTATGCAAGGTCAATTGTTTTCGAAGCTAGATCTCTCCAACGCGTATAACCAGCTGGTGCTGGATGAAGCATCGCAAATGCTATGCGCGTGGAGTACTCACGTTGGTATTTTTAAGATGACCAGATTGCCTTTTGGCGTGAAACCAGCCGCAGCCATATTTCAAAAAACTATTGAGAACATATTGAGAGGTATTCCAAATGTCGTGAACTATTTAGACGATATCGTTATTACCGGTTCCGATTTTAGCGATCACGTCAAAACTATAGAAACGGTTCTAACCAAGCTACGAGCAGTTGGACTGCGTTTAAACGCAAGTAAGTGTAATTTTTTTCAAGACAAAATTACGTATTTAGGATTTAATATAGATCGCAATGGTCTCACCAAAAATAAAGATCGGGTCAAGTCTGTGGTAGATGCACCGGTGCCACAGAACGTATCCGAGGTAAGAGCTTTTGTTGGAATGGAATGGTGAATTATTTTTCGAAATTCATCCCTAAATTTGCACACAAAATGGCTCCGCTATACGAATTGCTAAGAAAAGATGTTCCCTTTAAGTGGACGAGGGTCTGTCAAGAGGCTTACGAGCTCTTAAAACAAGACATTACATCTGAATGTGTGCTTACGCATTTCAATCCCGAAAACTCCATAGTTTTGACGACAGACGCGTCAAATTCCGCAGTGGGTGGTATTTTATCACATTCTTTCGAGAATGGGGTACAAAAGCCTATCGCATTTATTTCACGTGCACTCACGAAAGCCGAAAGGAATTACAGCACGATTCAAAAAGAGGCGTTAGCAATTGTATTTTGCGTGACAAAGCTAAAGCACTATCTTTTAGGTAATCATTTTACGCTCCAAACTGACCATAAACCACTTCTAACAATTTTTGGGGAGAACAAGGGTTTACCAGTGATGGCGGCGGCTCGGATGCAGCGCTGGGCAGTCATCTTGTCAGGGTTTAATTACTCTATTAAATATATAAAGGGTGTTTCTAATTCCGAAGATTTTATTTCTTGGCTCCCACAGCAAAACGCGGAAGAGGAAGATGGCGGTTTTGACTATGTTAACTTCATAGAAAGCAACAACCACCTAAGCTTAAATTTCAGAAATATCGCAAAAGCAACAAGGAACGACCTAATTTTGTCTAGAGTGAAAGAAGCTATCCATGAGGGTACGGTGGGGTTGTTAAAAGGTGAGGACTTTATTCCGTTTCGCGATAAGAAGGATGAATTGTGGGTGGAATATAATTGTATTTTATGGGGCTATCGGGTAGTCATTCCGTCAAAACTTCGAAGTAGGGTCTTAGGGGAGCTACACCGGTCGCATTTTGGCATCGTCAAGACCAAGGGGTTGGCTCGCTCATTCGTTTGGTGGCCTAAGTTGGACCACTGCATTGAACAACAAGTGTCAAATTGCGTGCCGTGTAGACATGATCAATCAAGTCCCGAAAAAAGTACACTAATACCTTGGGCTGTTCCAGAGACGCCTTGGTCCCGGCTTCATTTAGATTTTGCAGGGCCCGTGAACAACTATTATTTTTTAATAATGATCGATGCATATTCTAAATGGGCTGAGGTTTTAAAACTAAAAATATAACTTCGACTTTTACGATACAAAAGCTTCGCGAGGTACTTAGTAGATTTGGGTTAGTTACTACTATTGTTACTGACAATGGTCGTCAATTTACGTCATCGGAGTTCCAACAGTTTCTGTTGGCTAATAACATTAGACACCGGTTAACAGCGCCCGGGCACCCAGCTACAAATGGGCAAGCCGAAAATTTCGTTAGGACATTTAAAAAATCAATTTGTGCGAATTTGAGAAGTGGTAGCTTAGGTGATTTAGACACGGTGTTAGATACGTTTTTATTCGACTACCGGTGCACTAAACACTGCTCTACAGGTGAATCGCCGGCTAAGTTGTTGTTGGGAAAAGAGCTCCGGAACCACCTGAGCTTACTCAGACCACCGATAGTAAAGGGAAAGATTTCCGAAAGCCAACAAGCACAGGTAGGAAACCACCGGGGTAAGAGAGAAGTTAATTTTAAAAGTGGAGAAAATGTTTTCGTGAGAGATTATACAAATCCAAATAAATCAGGGTGGCAGCAAGCTACCGTGACGGGGCGCGTCGGACCATGCTCTTATCATTGTGCATTAACCCGAAATAAAAAAATTATAAAAAGACACGTTGATCAAATGATCCGCGGTGTATCAGCCACTAATGAGCGAATTATTGACGAAGATGGTAGCACTAGCGCCCAGCAAATACATGTGTCAGATTCGCAAACTAAAGTAGTTAACCTGCTTAAAAAAGTCAATCAGCAATTACTTACTGAGCAAGGGAGTGTGGATGGAGAGACAAATGTTCCGACAGAAATGAAAAACGATAGAAATTTACGCAAGTTGCAACGTGTTAACTATAGGGAGTAAGATAATCCTTTATTAGCATTCTTATTAGCACCTATTTTAAAGATTCGTTATCACTACTACCTATATTATAATATTCTTTTTTTTAATGTTTAATGTAGTCTCAATGTGGTAATATATTGTAAATATATTATCAAAATAATATTTTTGTGTATATTGCGACGTTTACAAAAGCTTGTGTGGGGAGTTGTGGAGTATAGCCCTTATGAATAACCAAGACTTGTAAACGCCGTATTAGTATTATAAATAAACAAGAGGTGTAAACACCGTATTAGCATTAAGAGCAAAATGTAAAGGAAAATGAACGTTGTGTCTGAAATGAATAAAACAGTTTATCTTCAACTAGCAAGCTGAAAACATCGCAAAGACCGAATTTATAAATAGTGTAATAGTGACCGCAAATTACAAAATTAGGGTTTACATTAAAGTGTAGACCCTTGACTATAAGTGTGTGAATCGGGACCAGGTCACCCATTTGAACACAATAGCCCAAAATCATTGGGCAAATAACTAAACCGTACCAAGTGAAATCGTTATTTGGGTTTCCTCAATCAAAAATCAAAGAGCGGATTAGCGGTGCCGCGATGGGCGCAATCTCAATTTCTCTTAATCGTGTGTGTACATATATATGTATTTTGAATTATTACTTTGTATGTACAGTATATGGAATACCTACAATGCATAAAGAACGAACAATTGTAATAAGGATACCTGTCTGCCGGCGAGCAGAAATGGTATAAAAGGAGCAGCGGTATCAAGCAACGTTCATTAGCTAGTTATACGTGGCACGCGTCGCAACGTGGGTCACACGGGTACTTAAAGAGGGGACTTACCTCCGAGAATATTCTTCTATATTCGAAGTGAGCTTAACCACTGAGACTTGTGCTAGCTGTAGGGTTTTATCCTCTGTGCTTTAGAGGGTAGATATAGCGAGAGTATAGCAAATAAAGAAGCTATAAACTTGAAGCGGGTGTGTTCTAATTTCTTGAGGATATAGAATATTTACTCTTTACAGAACCCTGGACAACCGAGAGCTACGCCCAACACTCAGGAAACTCCGTTACAAATGGCGCCCGAGCTGGGACTCTAAAAGAAAAAAAAATCAACATAAAGGAGAGTGACGTGAAAAGTGAAGTGAAAAAAGAACACAAGTGATAGAGACACAGGGTTCAGTGACTACCTGAAAGACCCAAACTTAAAGAACAATACAAGAACAAAAGGGGCTGAAGTGAGAGGGACACAAAAGTGCAGTGACCACCAGAAGAACTACTAGTAGGCGGTCCAGTGAAAAAAAAAGTGTGAAGCAGAAGAAAAACACAATAGTGAATGGAAAGTGTGTACATTACCTCAACCGAGAGGAGCTGCAGAGTTTGGCCTCGAACAGATCGGGACCGTCGAAGAGCTGCGAAGAGGCTTCTCTTCATTTATACAGGAAGAGGGTAACAATGAAGACTACCAGACCCGGTTCGAAGAGTTAGAATCGAAACACTCAAAGCCTGCGCTGACTGTTACAACACCAAGCGGAACCAGGGAGCCATTGTCATGCAGTCACCAATGCCCGTTGACGCGTTTGAGACACCACAGCCGTACGAAATGTATCCTACGATATCGCTTGCAACCTTCATGGACCGAGTCCGTAAGTGGGGTTTCAAGTACGACGGCGGCCGAGACCCTCTCAGCTTCATCGAGCGTGTGGAAGAATTGACAGAAGAATACGAGGTGAATCGCGACTTGTTACCGCGAGCAATGCCAGAACTGCTGAAAGAGAAGGCGTTGACACTGTTCCGCAGTAATAACCGGAATTGGCGACATGGGAGGACTTCAAAAGAGACTTTCTAAGGTTATTCTTAAACTCTCGATACCACGAAACCTTAGACGATGAGCTCCGGCGTCGCACAGTGGGACGTCCCCATATCAGCTGCGGCCAAAAGTAGTAACCGTACTAGAAATTCGCTGAAATTTCGTATATGCGCTGGCACTTAGGAATGAAGAAATGTGGAAAATGGTAAAATTCAACGCGCTACCACAGCTCTTGTGGACGGAAATAGTAAATGTTATCCGATTTTGATGAAATTCAGAGCATATGCTGGTTTTAACGAGAAAAGCTTAAATCTGAAAGATCGTCAAAATCGGTTTACATAATCATCCAGTAATTCTAGAATAACAGGCACAAATTACAAAAAAAAATCATTTTTGATGAAATTCGGTGTGCCCTGCTCGTTTAAGCCAAAATTTTCCAACTTGAAAGATAGTAAAGAATTTCTTATTACGGCGTCCACCTCCTACACAACTTTTTTGGCTCCTAGGACTAAATTTTATGAATTTTGGAGAAAATGAACAGACACATTTATTTTATTTCTAAAGAAGTTCCTATTTCTTCATTTTAAAATGACAAAACGAAAACATTTACAATATCTGCATACTAAACTATGTGCACTGAAACTTTCAATTTTACCTACATTTATACAACAAAAGCTTAGCTAAGGCAAGCAGGACTCTTGCCATCGAAAGCGGATCTCGTCCAGAGAAGCATCCATTTTTGGCTGAATGTTGATTGTGATTAATAGATTGGCGAGTCATTAATATCTACACTTTCTTTAATTTCCACTTTATATTGCATATTATTCATTTTATGTACATGTTATGTCTTTCCTTTCAGCTCTCCAAAAAAAAATTTTATAAGTTTTACAGGAGGTGGGTCTATAAAAGGAAGAATAAAAGCAGTTTCTCGCGGCTGGAACAATTTGAGATATGACACGTATATTTTATGTTTACTTGTCCTAAGTAAAATTTAGCTCGCTTCCTAGGTTCTTTTTAAATATCCCTTTTTAAAGTAAGAACTCGAAAAATTCTACACTCACAAAATTATGTAGAATTTCAAGGTAAACTGTTTAATATATTTCAAAAGATTTATATAAATTTAAAGCAATGTTTGACCACAGATATATTTAAAAAACTGCTCATCAATCAGATTGGCGTTTTATATATCCGCACAAGTGGAAAAATTAATTCAAATTACTTGCGACAAAATCAAAATTTTTTCTTACAAATTTATTTTTTCGCCTTCCTCCTGCTTTAAGCTCGTGTCATGATTGCAAATATTCATTCTCATCAAAAATTATTTTTGGTTTGAGTTAGCTGAATATTTTGCTATGCATCTGCGTAATTACTTTTTCAGAATTCGCTAATCCGTTTTTACTACTTTTGGCCGCTGTAGACCCATAGTGCGTCGCGTTCAACAACAGAACGAGAAGTTCAGACACTATGTGTTGGCCCTTCAGAATCTGATGCGACACGCCCAGAGCAGAAGCTAACCCGTTGCTACAGGAATTCTAGAAGCGAGTTGCAATGGTATGTCAAACGTTCCGAATTGACCACTCTAGAAGAGCTAGTGAGTTTGGAGGAAGACATGGAAAATATCCCCCCGGTGAGAGCCACAGATAGCCGCAGCGTGAACAACTCCGCGGGTCGCGGAGAGATATCAGCACATGCGCAAGCTGAACCGCAGTCGGAGTACGTTAATCCGTGGGCTGCGTGTAGACATTGCGGAGAAGATGGCCATTTTGCGAGGGAGTAAAGAGCTTCACGGAGAGAGTTTTGTTGGACCTGTGGTCGATGCAATGTCCCGACCCGATGCCGTAGTGCATCGAGAAACGGGTCGAGGTACCATTTGCGACGAGGAGTGGGCGTCAGGTAGAACAGTCTCGCCCAAACTAAAGAGTGTTCTAAGGCTGACGGCTGACCGAATTATGGCGGCGATCAAAGTAGGTGAGGTCAACATAGTAGCTGCAGTTGATACAGGCGCGACAACAAATTTCTTGAGTGAAGTCGTGTTTAAGAAACTGGGTGTGGGAGAGGTTAGGCAAGTGAACACGCTTGTGGTAATGGGTGATGGGAGATCCAAAACGGTGCTGAAGGCTATAACGGCAGGAGTAGAGCTGGCGAATCAGGTGCATGAACGCGGTCTTTTAATACTGCCTGGTTTGATGGATGACGTGGTCCTTGGAACAGATTACCTGGCAAAAGCGGGCGTCCGATTATGTTGCGGAGACTTACACGTGACACTCCGAAAAGAGAGCTGCGTACAAGAAGTCGAAACGTTCACGGCGAAACGCGAGGGTGGTGCGGAGAGGTCAGGTAAATGCGATGAACCCAAATCAAGCCCCATGCATACAGAAGCCGCGACAACCGACGAAGTGAGGAAGTTATTAAAGTCAGAAGTACGCAAATTTGAGATGTTGGAGTTTAAAATATCGCCGCTCAACGGGTCGTCATGAAGGATGACCGGAAGATCAAGCAGAGGTATTGCCCGAAGAACCCGAAGATGCAGGAAATCATCAACACGGAGATCGACGACCTTATCGAGAAAGGGTGTATTGAACCCTCACACAGCCCGCACAGTGCCTCTATAGTTTTGGCGAAGAATAAGACCTGCAAGTGGAGACTCTGCGTCGACTACTGACAGCTGAACGAGCGTTCAGTGCCCGACGCGTACCCCCTACGAAGATCCAACATATCGTTGACCGACTAAAAAGCGCGTGTTATATTAGCAGCCTAGACCTGAAAATAGGATACTGGCAAATCCTAATGTATGAGCAGAGCAAACAGTACACTGCTTTTACAGTGCCAGGGCGTGGCCTTTTTCAATGGCGAGTAATGCCGTTTGAGCTACACTCCGCCCCCGCGACGTTCCGGCGTGCGCTAGACTAAGTTATCGGTCCAGATATAGGGCTTGCCTACCTGGATGACATCATTGTCATCAGCGCAACCCTGCAAGAGCACGTCCAACATCTTTCGGAGGTCTTCCGATGGCTTGGTTGGTTGGTTTAAGTGGATTGTCACTCAGATGACAAGCAATTAGCAAGTTTGCCATTTTGATTCCACAACTCGTGCAACCTACAGCCATTTGGCGGCTTTAATAAATTTCAGTACGTCATACAGAGAGAGGCAGCTGCACTCTGAAATATTATGCAGGAATGGTTTGCCGAGTGTCTTAAGCCTCATCCTTGCGAGGGCTGGACACTCGCACAGCAAGTGTTCGACTATCTCTTTTGAGCCCGGGTCATCGCAGCTGCGGCAGAACCTATTGAAGGGCAGTCCTATCCTTTCGGCATGTACCCCAACCTGTGCACACTGCAGTAAGTTTGTAGGCCTTTGTTTTGCTCATTCCTAAGAGAGCTTTGGTTTTGAGTGGGTCGTAGGACACCCAGAACTGCCGGGCAATTCTGTAGGATCCTGTGCAGTTCCACCTCTGCCTGGCCTTCGAATGATAAAATTCGGTAATTTTTGTCTTAATCTCCCTGAGCGAGGCGCCCATGTCCACCGCGTGGGACATATCCAGTGCGGAGCCGCTCCTTGCTAGTTCGTCCGCTGCCTCGTTTCCGTAGATGCCCCTATGTCCCGGGACCCATATTAGGGTAATTTCGTATTGATCAGAGATATAGGCCAGCTCTCTCCTACATTCATCCACTAGCTGAGATCTAACAGAGTTAGAGGAAAGTGCCTGAATAGCCGCTTGGCTATCCGAGAGGATGTTCACTTGCGTTCTCGCGGGTACATTGTCTTTGATGTACCTTACTGCCTCCTTAATAGCAAACGTTTCGGCCTGGAAGACGCTTGCATAGTCTGGTAGGCGGAAGGATAATTTTAGGTTATATTGCTCAATGAAGACCCCAGCACCAACCCCGCATTCCATCTTTGACCCATCCGTAAAGACAGTTAAGCCCTGCAAGTACCCGAAATCTTCCTGATTCCAGTCACTGCGGCTTGGGAATTTCGTGCGGGGTTTGTGGTGAACCCAGGTCTTCGACAGGATATAGTCAGTGGGCAGCGCTTTAATTTCAGACGGTATTGCGTCTAGGATGGAACCGTGCCCGAACGGTCTTTCCTTCCAGAGCCCCAGGGCATGCAGTCTGATGGCGCTGTTAGCAGCTAAATTCTCGATGAAGACATCTATAGGTAATAAGTCAAGAAGGACGTTCAAAACGTCCTTCGGACAAGATCTCATTGCGCCTGTTACGCTAGCTGCTGACCTTTGAATTCCGCCTAGCTTTTTAACTACGTAATCCTTAGTAAGGGCTCCAGACCAGC